GACATGGCAGGGCTGAACACCAGGGCAGCTGGGTGATGCCTGCTCGTGTGACTTTAGCAAGGTAGAACCCATGCCTCCTTCCTTATTTTGCCAGTCAGGGCTTTTCGTTTTCAGGAGCTCACCCTGCTTTTGTGCTTCCGAGCTGTCCAAACAGATCCCAAGAGGAGCCATTACTTTTTTTTTTCTCAGCAACCCTCTTAACTTTAAAAACCACAATTAACAACGGTATCCATGTTTCGTGTTCTCTAACACTCTACTGCATATGTAGAGTATTTTCCTGCAGATTACCGCTGTGTGTCAGAAATGCTGCTTTTTTAGCCCCTCTGTCTCAACCACTCACACATGTGAACAGTGACAAACACAAACATGATAGCATTGCTCTGATTTCTGAAGAAACTTTAATTTATTGGCAACTAAATCTGTCAGAGGAAAAAGTATCAGAGATCATGTAAAAAATCACCAAGTGAACTGATTGAACAGAAAACTTCATGGAACAGCTACTACTATTTTGCATTATTGCTAGTAGTGGTGTTTTAAATAAACAACCAATAAAGAGATTATCCCACTGTAGTCAAGTAAGTGTAGGTTATAGAACAATCACTTCTTAAAGTAAATTGTTGTAAACGGCAAGTTACATCTTTTAAGGCAATATACCGCGTTGCTGAAGTTATTACACATGTTCCCCTTTTAATACTAGAGAATCAAACATAGTCCAAAACTTCCTTTTGTCTTCAAAAAATCTTCCCAATAAATTTACAGGTGAACTCTACTTGTGGCAAATACCTGTGGAGTATAGTCCATAAAGTACACGCGCTTCCCTCGATTGCTTTTTCCTCTAGAAAATTCTGTTGATTTTTGTGTATACCAGTAATTTGAAAATGGTGGCGATTCACTACTAATACATTTTAAGTTTTGTCTCCTGTAAACATTGCAACAAAATGGTAAGCTGGCTCATGTGAAAAACTTTTGGTTTTCCTCATTATTAGAACTTACCTTTATGGGAGAAAATAGGTTACTTTTACATAACTCAATAATAAGACTTTATATTATTAAGGCTGAAGTGATAATGAACTTTCCTTGCAGTAATAGTTACAATGCCGTCAGAAACAGTTACCAACCTCCAAAACTGGAAAGGATTTTTTTCCCCCTTTCCCCAGTGAGTTATCGTACCTGGCTAATTTCTCCAAGGCTAGTAAAAACACGAATGTCCTTATTAGTGGCTTGCACTAAAATGAGGTGTACATGTGTGAAAATTATTTTTCTGTTTAACTTCTTGCCTTCCGATGCTGCCTGCGTGGCGAGGAGCCTGGTGGAGTGGCCTGCCGGGAGTGCCCGGTGGGTGCTGGGCCCAGGACTCTCTCTGCCCCGCTCCCAGGCCTGGAGCTCCGGGTCGCTGGCAGGGCTGGGCGCCATATTTCACGTCCTCAACTCTGCAGAGCCTATTTGGTATAAAGTTATGCTTATTCTTCCCCCTTTCCCCCTTCTCCCCCCTCCCCAGGATTATTTCGGGAACCTGAAAAGGCACCTCTGTAATTTACAATTCCTGGCCAAATCAGCATATCTCTAATTGGAAGTAAACAGGGTCAGGGGACTGAGTTACTTTGAAAGTGATACGTTGTTTAATTGACAAGGTGAAATTTTAGGTTTCAAGTTTGCATATTGCACCTTTGTAGCTTTTGGGTTTGGCTGTTGAGGTGTTTTGTTTCTTTTTTTCCTTATTTTTATTTTCTTTTTCTTTTTTTCTTTTTCTTTTTTTTTTTTTTTTTTGGTCAAAGGAAGATCTTTGTCAAGCAGAACAGGGCTTTCTAACAGAGTGAGGGGCTTTCCTGAGCAGTACATTTTGAATGTATTTACAGTTCTCTGGAAATAAGGCTGTAATCTGGGCAGCTCTAAACATACGAATGTAAACATTCATCTCAGAACAACTTCAGCAAGCAGATTTTTCATGACCATCGTAATTTCAGCAGAGCGGTTAAGTATGCAATGCACCTTTTGCAATTGGCAGTTTAAAGTGATGTGTGTGTGCGTGTGTATGTGGGGGGGGAAGGGTAACTCCACTGAAAGGCAATTGTTTACTCTTTCTAAATATATTTGGCTGCAGGTATTCTTAGACTAGGCCTTTTACAATGAGAGGAAAACTACGGTGTGGATATAGTAAACAGAGCTGAAATCAGTTAGTGACTGCTTGGAATATTTAGAGACACGAGGGGTGGGGAGAGGACATCACAAAAGGCAGGAATTAAAAAATTGAAACCCAGGCAGTGGATTGCCAGCAGAAATGTTGACTTTGAGTCACACAGTAAACATTACATTGTTGCTTTGTTTTCCTTTTTTGATTTACGATAAATTATTCTCCCGGGATTGATCGATGAGTGGAATCCTTAAAATTTAATTTGGGAATGATCTAGTATAAATAAAATGCTAATCCAAAGAAAGAAACCAGCAATTACTCATCCTAAACTCTGCTGATTCAGCAACTCAATTATAACTGCCTTTCTCAAGCTGCAAACTTTTCAGGCTGTTTTTAGAGTTGCTGCACCCATCCTCCCCCTCGCAAGAGAGACCTTTCCCCGTCCTCAGCTCTGCCTCCACCTCGGCCTCCAGCCTTTCTCTCTCTCTTTTTTTTTTTTTTCCCTTCCCTTTCTTTTCGAGGGGTTGAGGGGGAGGGAGGGAAACAGTTAACCTCTTGAAGCGTATTTCCTCCAAATAAAAACAGTGAACTTACAAACGGAGAGGAAACCACGGATAACTCTGCAATAATTCAAAGTGTATGGAATCAGGATTATTTTTTTAAAACAGTGTTTTTAATTGAAAATAAAGCTAAAGCATGCTTTTCAACAGTGCAAATTTCCATAATTTTGATTTACTGCTTCCATCATCACAATATATTATACCAGCATGTCTTACGGAGGGCTAGACTCTAGAAGTCTGCCTGTTCGACTATTTCGATATTAAGTGCAAATATAGATAATTGCCTCTGATTGTCACGTGCAGTAGAAATGTTTCTGCTACATAGAGAGGATGGCATGGGGAAAAAAAACAACAACCAACCAAACAAAAAAAACCCGAACAACCCACCACAACAAATTTCAAGAGATGAGGATAGAACCGGGAAGAGTAACACGGTTGAAACGCCTGAGTTTTGGTGCCAAAAAGCTATGAACAACACGGTCTTCTCATTTTGTGTATTTTTTCCACTTATGGCCTCTTGTTTCACTTTCTGTGTTGTATTTACTGCTTTGCTATTTCCTCCAGCCAGCGTGAGGGGCTGGACCATAAATTGTACTGCTAGCCGGGCAAATATTTTAGTTGCTTTGCAATTTTGTAAGGGGCATGTTCAGACCACAACTTAAGTATGACATTAGTGGATAACAGTAACCTTATTTAAGACCTCTGGGTGAGACAAAAAAGGCCTCCCAATTGCAAAGAGTGGCCGTACAAGTAAAAAGACACCCTTTTACCAAAAATAGAATTCCACATTTATTTACTGGTTTCAGATGAGGCAGGTTTTCCCAGCGCTGGGGTCGCAGGCGGACCCCAGCCTTTCCAAACCAGAGAAAAAGGAGTAAGTGCAACTGCTCTTAGAAAAAGACAGCCCTGCACCCGAAAACAAAGCTCCCGAAAAGTAGGCTGCTGCCACATTGAATTATAGTGAACCCTTACTGTGCAACCATGTAACTTAACAAACTTTAACTGAATTAACAGTTAGACTTCCATTTTTGAAATCTAGTGCATAAATTTAATGGCTCATTCTAATATTTATTATTCAACCTTTTGACATTTATTTGCAGCAGTTGAATTGAGGTACTGGTGCATTATTAGCATTTAAACAGTAAAGTGTTCCAGCTCTACCATAATAACTGAGTTTAACTTGAGTCTTTAGCCTGAAGTACTCTGTGGAATGTAACAACAACAGCAAAAAAAAAACCCCAACCCAAATGCAACAGAACCAAAAAAAAAACCCAAACCAAACAAAAAACCCACTGTTGTAATGGTAAAGAAAATAGTAATCCGGTTTCTGTCTTCACAATGTAATAAAAGAGGGTTCCAAAAGTGTGTATAGCATTAATGGGCTTGTACAAACCATCCCGCAGAGTTTAAAAAATGTAAGAAAGTTAAAGGTGGTTCAAGAAAATATTTTCCAAACTATTTTATTAATTAAATTTCCTGAATTTGTGGCTAGGTGGAAGAGGTATTGCAGAACCGCCCAGCTGCCATTTCCATACAGGATGGGCCTTGTGAGGTGGTTGGGAATCCTTAGTGGTGTTTAAGGAATAAGCTGGCAACAAATCCCCATCATTGCCAATAATTAGTGATGGTGGACAGGGAAAATTTGCCATGAAATTAAATGGCCTTTTCACTGCTGATGCTACATTGCTGGCTACCCTTTTGCGTCTATTGTTAACTGTAAAATCATCCAGTGTTCCTTCATGTGTCTCGATTTTACCTGTAGGACGTGGGCTTCGAGCTGATTTCAAATTTGGTTTGACTGGAGGAGTCTGCAGTAAAGGTCGCTTTCCCAAAACCAGTGTCCTGTAATTTTTTCTCACCCTCGCTCCAAATTTATACTCCCCATCCTCAGGTTTTGGAGTACCTAAAGTGCATGAGAGGACCTGACTCTGAGTCAGCGGGTTTAAGGAAGTGGTTTCTTTCTCAGTGCATGCGGAATCTTCCTTAGCTGTTGATAAAGCGTCCTGGTTATTACTCTCAGTCACACCGTAAAACTCATCCTTAGTATCATTGCACTCACACTTTAGCTTATGTGTTGTAAGGTCAGGCTCATACTCGTCGTTCGCACTGCTGTCCTCTATTTTGATTTTAATGCTGTGCAGGAATGGCAATGCCTTGTTGCCTGTATCAGTGCACTGGAGCTCAGCTGCTGGTGGTGCTGCCCCTGGAGAAGCAGCATCCTCCTCAGGATCAGTTTGTAAAGAGGGCAAATCCGTGGCAAATTCAATACAATGAGGGATTTTGGAATCTTTCTCTGAATTTGCTGCCGCTGATGAAGAATCATTATTTAAGAACCTAGCAGCAATTGTATTGTTATCTGCACGGTGTGTAGTAGTTGCTTGAAGGCATTTCCTTGCCTCTCTGAGTATTCTTTGTTGTGGAAATGCATTGTTTGTCTTTGGGCTAGGTGAAGAGGCCCCCTTTGCAACACAGTTAATTGTTAGGTCAGTACTCTTGGCATTACTGGAAAATTCAGAGTGTGGGAATGTGATCTCGGATACCCTATCATCTCTTATCTCCGCGAAGCAGCTCCCCAGGCCGCCGGAGCA